TCGACTTCAATGTGTAGTCCTCGTAGGGAGGCCACACTGGGTGTGACATTCACATTGACCAGATCACTCCTAGTCATGAGAAGCTAACATCCAAGAACAGTCAAACCACGAAAACACACAGAAGCTCACCAACCTTTGCGATACTCGGTGTTCCAGTTTTGTGTACAGATTTCAACTTGTCAGTCAGTGGCTATGTGATACACTCAATTTTGAAAATCAGGTACAAATTACAAGACGAATATAGATGAATTGGCTGAAGCTGTCAATAAATATGCTTTGTCTAGTAATTTCTTACACGAACAATATATCCGCATACAGCGTTTCACACACCATTATTCATCCGAGTGTAAAACGACATCCTGGTGATTATCACCTCGTTATCGATGCACTCAATCAATCGTAATGATATTTCTCTCTCTCTCTCTCTCTCTCTCTCTTTCTCTCTTTATGATCAGGCTTGCTCACTGTATACATGTGATCCTAAATTTCATCACGATATCAAGTGATGGTGCATGGCTTTGTAATACAGTCAAACTGACTGATTAGCCTTCGCTACTTCACGTAAAGCATATTGAGTTCACTCGCTTATGAGAAGGCAAGCATTTCTTAAAACGCAGGTATGTGCATATCACAAGGGAATCCCGAGTGGGTTGAAACTAAAAATTGTCAACCTCAATACCCATCACCACCAGATTAAACTACAGAGAGTCATTGTATTCTACTACTGTAGGAATGCAAGAGTGTAATCACCTGTCACAACTATTAACTCTACAAGCAAGAAAGGTGGTATTGGTCAGCCATGCAGTTCCTTCGAGATCACCGCATGAATTACAAGATTAGAGTACCTACTGATGAGTGAGTAACAGACAGCAATTGTTACTTGTTGGATTCGAAAACAATCCCCATAAAGATATATCGGGAAAGGAAAAAAAGTGGTTTAGCGAAAAAACGTTTCGACGAATTCATTCACTGTACAAATGTGCAATAGCATTTATATAAAAGCCGTCAAATTCATTTTCCGCAACGAAAATGATTCTATGTATGAATAAACTTTGATTTCAGAGGTGACATAGACATTGGTTGATATACTAAAATGAAGCATTTTAAGTTCCCTGGGGTAAACTTTCTTTGCAGCAACATTCAGAGTAGTGTTCTGTAGTCGCCTGAAAGACAAAATCCCACATCTTGCCACCGTTATGTGTTCAGTTCACCTGCTCAAGTGGAGTCTGGTCATGTCCAAAAGCGTTCAAGAAAAATATCCTGCATGTCTACAGAGAGACAGTAGTGTATCTATACGAAGTATGTTAACGGAACATTGGTCATTCAATTTCAACAACCACCTCTTTCAAAGTTATTCACAAAGTGAAAAGAAACTTGCCAAAGTCAGTACTAATCGCCTCCTTTGTAATCCTTGCTGAAGCTTTAGTAATTCAGGAAGCAAAGCCGGAACCTTCTATACGAAATGACTTGTTCAACCAGCACTTCTTTCGTGGTCCTAATCTCTAGCGTTTCTAAATATCTCCCACCGTCATTCCTTTGACTGTTTACTTCCTTTCATTTCTTACATATCTTCGACCACTCCTTCTTTCCACACCTATCCAGACCCCTTTATAACAATTCATTCATTAATACTATGTCATGTTACTTACTCAACTCCTCATTCTAACCTAGTCACCGTGACTCAATTTCCATGAAATCATGAGCAATACCTACGAATATTAGCAACCTTGCACTTCATTAATCCTATGACAATTTTACTTTGCTTGTCAACATGCCATTTGGATTGCTTTCCAATATTCATAAATATTTCACGATGATTGTAAGATGAAACAGTAGTTCCACTTTTATACATATATCACATTGTGGTTATGACTAACGAACTACTTTCACACATGAAACAATTTGTACATCCTCAGCAAAAGTTGTATATGAATGTGGTTGAACACCTAGGTATGAAGTGAATGAACTCGCCGAAAACAGTCTCTTCGTTCAACCACACGGTTTCACTTACTCATTGGATTTCCCGTTGAAAAAGTATCATATGTCATACACATTGATTGCCTATCACATGGTAAACAACATGATAAATTTATCGATGATATTGATGACATATAACAAACAGACTAGGAAGTCTGATCTGCTCACTAGACGGACACTATGCTTTGTGTCGGATGCAAAAGGTGTTTATCAGGACTCATCACTGTCGAAAGATGTTGAATTGCTGGTGAGATGAGAACCCATCTCCATCATCGACATAGTCAAACAGGCTGCTAATCAGCATCGTGGAGTAGAATATTACCTTGGTTACGCATCACTGACCACTTACTATGCACAACTCTATCCGAGGAGGCGTCTTCTCAGCCATGGACTGATTGTAGATTTGAATAATGTGACTTCAAACAACTACAGTCAGTGGAGATTTTCCTGCTACACATATGCCCTCTGACGAAGAGCAACAAACAGGAAATCTAGGTCTGCCTATGCATTCCCCTCAATTGCACCTAGACATGCAAACTCATTGATTCATTGGGATAGTAACACGTCATCTGACTGGCCTGTATGCTTCTCAGTTTATTGATTAATTATGACGATTCATCCAATCATCACTACTACTAGAAAATATCAGATTCAATGGTGAGCAATAATCACTGTGACAGTCATCACATGGTCATTTATAGTTTATATCTTGATGAGGTAATGATGGATTGACTGATGACACAGATTACCACTCAACAATCATTCAAGAATCGATTGGAGACATATCTGCACAACCATTTCATTTTATCGAAAAGACAAGTGGAGTGAAAATACTCTCTCGCTCTCTCACACACACTAGGAATATGGACAAACACAGTGAATTCATAACAACATTGTCAATGAAGACTCAAAATGTTGGCAACATTAATGATCTCATTAGACAACTACTGGAGGAAGACATTCAGATTATTCGCGAACATACAGACAATAGGACTGTTTGTTATCTACCAAATTCGAAGGATTTAGATGATCTTCAAAAGGAGTTGTTAAAGACTGCTCAAGGTGTACGAGACGAAGCATACACAGAATTACGTTCGATTGATGATAGCTTTGGAAGTTTGGTGTCAACACAGCTGTCAACATCAACATTAGACCAGCAAAGCAGTTTGAGTGCTGCAGAGAATGATCAGAACAAGGCGAATATATTGGATAATTCTCGAGGTGATGAATCTCACTGTGCAAATGAAGACACTTGCTTCTCCTCATCGTCAACTTTCAATGTTCAACAACAATGCTGTTTGACAAAATCTCTTGCTGATAGCACCAATACTCGTCCGAACAGTCGATACTACAAAACGGAATTGTGTAGGCATTATTCTAACACTTCTGGTAGAGGTTGTAGTTATGGGGATGGATGTCATTTCGCTCATGGGGCGATTGAACTCAGATGCACTCCACATCATCCACGGTATAAAACACAATTGTGTCGTCTTTTTCATCGTTACAGAAATGTAGATTCGGGAAGAGATGTCAGTTTATTCATGACGAAGCATTAGATGAGTTGCTTCGCATTCGATTACAAGATCAAATATTTCAGACATATCGAGAAATTCATCCCGAAGTAGGTGATGTGCGCTTGATCGAGTTACTCAGACCACACGATGATAACTTGCAGGCGCAGAATGTTTCTGTGTTAACATCATATGATGGAAGGAAGCTCGATAAGGATTATTACTCTACTCTACTGTTGGCACTAGAGAAGCTGAACAGCTGAGGGATGGTGTGGAGCAGTAAGTACTCCACGAAAAATCGAATCGAATCACATGAACATTCCACAGGTGGATGGTGATTATGCTTTATTCATGTTTGTTCAATTGAACTCAACATATTAAACTGATATTTCTTGTTCTCTACATGGATCATCACCTTCATCGAACAAAAGTGAATGTGTGTGTGTGTGTGTGTGTGTGTGTGTTATTCCATAATTTAAGATCGACTTTCTAATATTATGTAACTTACTTTTATGTTAAATAATACTAACCATTATATTATTTTTACTAATGACAATGATAATAATAATAATAATGTTCATGATCGGAATAATATTAATGATAATAATAATGAGGTATATTGTCTGTTTGTCTCTCTTTGTAAACTCAGCCAAATTACCTAGTGCAATGCGTCAGGGGATGTCAATGTGTTGTCAGACGGTTTGTGTCATCGTGAGCTGGAGGACTATTGATAGAAACAGTAAACTTTGATAAAACTATTAGATATGAGTTTGGGATGACTTCGTCGGAATGCATCCTGAAATATCTACATGTTACATTCGTGTATTGAATGGAGTCAAAGAATGAGGTTAGCAGGTTGTAGGCACCACTAACACAATATCACATGGTGGGATTTCAGTGATGCACAAGTCAAGACCTGCACAGCTCGACTATGATTTACAGACTGCTAGATGACGTTCTCTCAGGTGAACACTTCATGAGGCAAGAAGTAAGACAATTAAGAAGGTAAATCGTCATTCAGGAAAATATGCGTTACAATGAGATAACATGTGATCGCACGATAAGACAGTGGAGAGATACCTAGTTGATGCAGTCCTTTTTAGTAGGAGAGTCTAGATGTACATTTAACCATCTTGGCTCCTACCCTCTGAGTTCATTCTGATGTTAGCTACACATAGGAGGTTAGGAGTCGTTGCTTGAATTCCTGGGTGTCAATGAAATCTCACGTATGTAGGGTGTCCGATAAAGAGATATTCTCCACAGTTCGATGAGAGGCACTTCAAGTATAACTCCGTCAGCCAGATAGATTTCACTGCAAGGGATCACGTGACGTTTAGTGACAATACAAAGAGATTGAGCATGACTGTTTAGATAGCTAGTTCATCAGCTTCACATAGATTACGAAGGAGGGAAAACATGGTACAGCTGTTGAACAAACGAAGGATCAGGTAATACGAATGAGACAAGTTGAGTGAGATGCAATCAAAGTGTTCTCGTTAGATGTTGCAATTAATGGGGAGATTAAATGAAGTGACATGGGTAACCGATAAATGTAAACGTAATACTGATGATGATGATGATGATGATGATGATGATGATGATGATGATGATGATGATGATGATGATGATGATGATGATGATGATGATGATGATGATGATGATGATGATGATGATGATGATGATGATGATGATGATGATGATGATGATGATGATGATGATGATGATGATGATGATGATGATGATGATGATGATGATGATGATGATGATGATGAAGGTAAAATAGTGCAAAGAATAATCTGAAGGAAGAGGATACATGGAAGGAGTGAAATGAAGCGAGAGACATGTAGAGAAACTTAAGTTTGCCTGAAAGTAAATGAAAAGACTGTGTTTCGGTTGTAGGTGCTTCTGAGATTTTGAGAAGCTTTTTCCTGTGGACGTGTTTTCTTTGTTGTTGGTATCGTCTGCTTGAGTTTTCAACTGCAGTTGTCAGCACTGTCGTATGTTTTGTCGTAAGTGTGCTTTCTAGTTTTGCCTTTTGATTGTTAATCACTGACTGATATTTCTGTATCCAATGATATGCATCTGTGATCATCAGTTGTACCATTTATCTTCCACTTTGTTCAGCTATTTTCCATCCCATTGGACAGTTAATCGGTGGTCTATATCTGGCGCTCCTTGGCAGAACATGCTGACGTAGGCACTCATGGGTAAAGAATAGTTGTTCTTATGTGGAAGCTTGCCTTTTGGAGAAGTACTCCCATCTTCGAACAGCGTGAAGCGTGTTACGCTAGTATAATTTTGAAATGGTGATGAATGTTTTTAGCTCAGGTGGATGGTCTTGTTTGCATTGTGTTTTCTGAGCTGGGGTGTTTAATCGTGAAGCTTTCATCATCTTTCTTTCTTCATACTGAATTTAGTGCTTACTTATTCTTCACACTAAGTTCAGGTGTTATTTCATGAATTGTCGAGGTATCTTCTGCTTATGACTGCTGGAGACGAAGGAAATATGAAATATTTGAGCGAATTACACAATCAAACCGCGAAATTATTGTTTGGTTTAGTTGAGTGGTTGGAATCAATCCAGTGTCTAGGAATAGAGCTTCCAAAGTATTTCTCTTTACAATGTTAAATCGATACCGGAAATGCTATCTTATCTTACTTCGGAGGAGCTTTAAAACTGGCAGATACACCTGGAGATGATCTGACGAGGGATACTGCATTTACGTATACGGAGAGTGACTAAATGCCATTAGAGGTAAAATTAATTATGGATACTTAGAATCCTCTTCTAACTGATATCACAATACGATGTTTAAGAATATCTGATGCTACATCATCTTTAAATTCCAGATTCATGAAATATGCGTTTTTGGAAACTGAGTTGATGACTGCCTGAGCATGCGTTTTACACACATCTAGCACAACTATTTCCACCGTCGTAACTTCTAAGAAGTCAAGTTCAACTTACCCGCAATCTGTGCTACAAAAATTTCGCACTCGAAGTAGCAACGAGTGAATGGAGGTTCTTTCCTACATGAACGGCATCTAACTGCTGAAGTAGTAAGCTATACACTTCACTAGGATTTCTGTACCTAGATCTTCTCAGTGTTCTATTATAGCGTATCATCACCCAGTGTTAACCGACGCTGATGCCTTCTCCATCTCTCTCGACTTTGTCACCCACCATTGCTCGCAACGACTCTCGGTCAACTTTCTTTTGAGTTGCTTTCACTCTCCATCTTGGTCAGAGTCAGCTGAAATCAGTCTTCCTCCCATCAATCAGTTTGGATGGAGTTGGGCAAATTCAGTGACGTTTGTTAACCTTCATGTGTAGGTTACCAACTGTTTCTATCACCGTTTCTACAGTAAACCTAATATCACGCCCGGTTTCCTCAGGATGAGCATTCTTGCCACGCTCTGATAAATGCTTAGTTAACTACTCTTTAAATTCGTATTTGCCATCCTCACCTTCCCATGGATCATAGAGTGGCTTTACTACCTCGTGTTTCCTGTGTCCGATGAGGCGCAGGTATGCACATGCCTGTACCTACACATGATAAGGTTATCATTCTGCTACTGTCAATTTCTATTCCTAACATCAACATTCCTCATACATACAGTCGATTACACCACATACATGAGACGTAATGAAAGTTGCAACCAGGTGGCTGTAGATTGCGTTAGCCATCAACTCTTACTCGGTTATTCGATTTTCTGAAACGCTGCACACCTCAACATGCTCAGCTATTCGCTCGTTAGTGTCAATGCACACACATATAGAAAGGAGTCTTGAGACAACATCTTGGGAATGAGAAATGCATTTCGAACCTGCTCATTGTGGTTCAAGATGTTTATTATCCGACTTTCTGTCAGTCTCTGTCACTTGCTTGCTTGCTCGCTCACTCGCTCGCTCTATATATCTTTACCTGCCTACCTCCCTCCCTCCCTCCCTCCCTCCCTCCCTCCCTCCCTCCTACTACCTACCTACCTACCTGCCTACCTCCCTCCCTACCTACCTACCTACCTACAGACTTACCTAACAGCACCAATATTTTGGAGGAGTGGGACCAATCTGTGTGAATCTCCTCAGATGATGGTTCACCGTAGGTCCCGAAATGACCACGATTCTTCAACTTCACGGTTTTCAGTGTGCTGATCTGTAAGTCTTTCTACTGACACACATGAAGAATGTCTCTGTGTTATCAACTTGAAGACGAAAGGAACAAGTGTGTGTTGAAGAAGTGAGTGAGTAGGTGTATTTGCGAGGATTGTAACAGTTCTCATCCTGACCTCAAATAACACCATGTTTACTCCATGTGGTGTGGAAATAACTCAGAAGTTTACTAGCATTTAACTGACCACTAGTAGGAGTTATCGAACGTCTGTTATCGTGTAGGAAATGATGTCCGAGAATACATGTCGATCACAGAACTCAGATTAGATGCAAACGGAGTGAGTGACGTCGTAATAGCAGTGAGTATTGGTAGGTGGTGGGAAGGATTTCGATGAAATACTGAAGATTACTTTAGTTTGCTTGAAACTTGCATGAGGAGTTTCGACAAAACAATAAGAAGACGTAACGTTTCTGAGAGTTGACTACCAATAATGTTGCTTGATGATGACGTTGATGTTGAATGATAAGAAACAGGTGTTAAGCATTACTGTTTAGATAGTTAGTTCATCAGCTTCACGTAGATTACGAAGGAGGGAAAACATGGTACAGCTGTTGAACAAACGAAGGATCAGGTAATACGAATGAGACAAGTTGAGTGAGATGCAATCAAAGTGTTCTCGTTAGATGTTGCAATTAATGGGGAGATTAAACGAAGTGACACTGAGAACTATTAAATGTTGAAGTAATACTGACTATGGTGCAACGAGTAATGTAAAAGAAGGAGGGGAATGGAAGAAGAGAAGCGAGACGCAGAGAAAATGAGGTTGGAGTGAAGGTGATGACAAAGATTCTGCATACTTATTTTGCACACAAAGTTGTTCAACTCTCAGTTCATGAATAGCTAAGTTGTCTGGTGCTTATGGATGTTGGAGACGAAGTAAATGTGAAGTATTTGAGCGAATTCGATAACCAGCTTTGAAATCCATGTTTGTGTTAGTTGATTGGTTGGAATCGATCAAATATCTAAGGATAGAACTTCTAATGCATTTCTCTCCTCCTTATTGATGCAATGGTGGATAAGGCTAGTTTCGGGATCACCATATGATTTTCAACAACTGGTGTCAACTTTCTGGTCTACTATCACCAGTTCACTAACTCTCACCCTAGTTCTAATCATTTGCAGACGAAGGATCATGCTGAAAACTGAAATCGATAGGTGACACTGACACGATATAAATTCATTCATTCAAGTAAAGGAAGGGTTTTCTGTTTTGATGAATCGTCCGGAAGATGTTGACAACATGCTGTCGATTGCCTGTGATCAGACTAGGCTCGATAAAGCCTAAGGTGATAAGAAGGGAACTCAACAGATTCGGATCCAACTCACAGGTATCTTGAAGGAAATGAAAGATGATTCATTAATTTTACTCTGATTCGTTTCAACGCATTCTAGCTGGTGGTTCGGCAATTCAACGTCTGATAGTGCACTGAGCCGAAAAGATTAGAAGACGAAGACCAGTCTGTGACTTCATGGAAGAAAGCATCATTTGAAAAGGAACACATCATGTATGTACTGTTCTCCTTCTGAAAAAATGTCACTAGGTCAGAAGTTGGATACTTACCTCATCGGCCACTTCAACGATAAGGTAGTTCAGTTACGTTTTCTGCCAACACAGTAACACAAGACCAAGGTTGGCATTCAAAGCTTCTACCTTAGCAGCCGATTACCTAGAATGCTCATTCTGACTTGGTTGCCGTCCTATCAGCTTTGCTAAACTTAGAATTTTTCACTTGCATTATTGAACAATGTGCCATTGAACGTCACAATGTGAATCTCAACAGAGAACTTCGATATTCATGAACTGACACCTGAACTTAGTGTGAAGAATATGTATGCAGAGTCTTTGTCATTAACTTCGCACCAATCACAACTTCTCTATGTGTCTCTCGCTTCATTTCACTCCTTCCATGTATCCTCTTCCTTCAGATTATTCTTTGCACTATTTTATCTTCATCATCATCATCATCATCATCATCATCATCATCATCATCATCATCATCATCATCATCATCATCATCATCATCATCATCATCATCAGTATTACGTTTACATTTATCGGTTACCCATGTCACTTCATTTAATCTCCCCATTAATTGCAACATCTAACGAGAACACTTTGATTGCATCTCACTCAACTTGTCTCATTCGTATTACCTGATCCTTCGTTTGTTCAACAGCTGTACCATGTTTTCCCTCCTTCGTAATCTATGTGAAGCTGATGAACTAGCTATCTAAACAGTCATGCTCAATCTCTTTGTATTGTCACTAAACGTCATGTGATCCCTTGCAGTGAAATCTATCTGGCTGACGGAATTAAACTCGAAGGTAGATACGTAGGTAGGTAGGTGAAAGAGACAACTTCCTTCATATTTCTCCCGCTCATGGTGATTGCTGCTTGTTGTTGTTGCTGATTAGTTTGTTGGTTGGTTGGGTATCTTCTCCACCTCTGTTTTCTCTACGTTCACCTGAAGGAAGTCCCGTCTTCGCTGCCTTGCCTCTTCCTTCATCTTGTTAGTTCTCACCTGTAGATTTCCGAGTTTGTGTCACGTTAGGCAGACATAAATCATCATCGGCGAATTCCAAATCTTCTTCTGGCGTC